TACGTTTCCATATAACTTGATAATATCCTTTACCTAATGAATGTTGATATGAACCTGTTTCAATTAATCGGTCATTTCCTGCTTCTAAGACAGTTTCTGTTGTTAAATGTAAGTTATCCAAACCGGCATCTCGTGCAGCTTGCAAAAATTTTTTAATTTGTTCACGTCCTTCATATTTATTTTTATCATATGGTAAAAGTCTTCCTTCGACTGTATAAAGATTAACTAATTCATCAAGTTTACCAGCATTAAAAAGTTCTTCATAACGACGATTAGCAGCATTAACTATATCAAATGATGTCGACATGATGACTATAACAAGTTTTTTGTTATCAATATTATTACAAAGCAGTAACAAATTTATATCTATTCTGATAAGAATAAACTTTGTTTTGAAGTTAAATTCAAAAGATACGAAGATTCTTACCTTGATTCAAATACTTTTTTTAATGGACCATTTTCACTCTTTTTGATGTAAAATTATAATCACAAGTATATAAAGAAATAAGACAAAGAAACCAAAACAACGATATTATCGTGCCAAGAAGCACGTCATCTGTTCTCATTGTGCCGGTCGACAGTACATGAGACAATGTTAAAAAGCACCTTATTGCAACATGACAGAATCAATAGGGAGTACATCAGATAATGGACATCCTTTTATATAATACCCCTTGTTTTCTCTTAGACACCGAATAATTTGTTCTCTAATATCTCCACTTTCTTCCTTATTCTTCTTCCTTCTTTTTCTTCAAGTTATCTCTCTCTCTCTGAGTTATCTCTCTCTTCGAATTACTTCTCTCTCTGTTTCTATATATATGGGTGTCTCGGAGATTAAAACAGAGCAGTTGGAGTTAGTTCTAAAATAGTTACAGCCTAATCTAGACAGTAAGTTATTCTTATTAACCAAGCTATTTGACGAACGAGTAACGAAGCTAAGTCAGTCAAGGATACGTTATTATTATAACGTTTACACGTACAAGCTTGTTATATACGCTGCTTTGTCTACGTTATACATTGTGCATCCATATTCCTTCTCTTCAAATATATATTAACACTGCATTTCGTTACATTTGTTGTGCATCTCTTAACTCAAACTCATCTACATATACATATATGACTGGCGCTCATACATGTATGTATATGTAGATGAGTTTGCGTTAAGAGATGCACAACACATGTAATAAAATACAGTGTTAATATACCGAGTGGCCCAAAAGTAAGGAAAAATAAAAGGTGTCCCATAATAACTGATGAAAAACTGTTGATGATATTTTTCATACTTTTTATTGATGTAGAGAGCTGAAATTTTTGTCACATATATATCTAATCAAAAACTTATATTTCTGAAAGTTTCAGCTCTCTACATCAATAAAAAGTATGAAAAATATCATCAACAATTTATTATCAGTTATTATGGGACATCCTTTATTTTTCCTTACTTTTTGACCATCCGGTATATTTGAAGAGAAGAAATATGGATGCACAATGTATAACGTAGACAAAGCAGCGTAGACAACAAGCTTGTACGTGTAAACGTTATAATAATAACGTATCCTTGACGGACTTAGCTTCGTTACTCGTTCGTCAACTAGCTTGGTTAATAAGAGTATGTTACTGTCTAGATTAGATTGTAACTATTTTAGAACTAACTCCAACTGCTCTGTTTTAGTCTCCGAGACATCCATATATATATATAGAGACAGAGAGAGAAGTAATTCGAAGAGAGAGATAACTCAGAGAGAGGTAATTCAGAGAAAGACAATTCAGAGAGAGATAATTCAGAGAGAGAGAGATAACTTGAAGAAAAAGAAGGAAGAAGAATAAGGAAGAAAGTGGAGATATTAGAGAACAAATTATTCGGTGCCCAAGAGAAAACAAGGGATATTATACAAAAGGACATCCATCGTCTGATGTACTCCCTATTGATCCTGTCACGTTGCAGCAATGTGCTTTTTAGCATTGTCTTAGGTGCTGTCGACCGGGACAATGAGAACAGATGACATGCTTCTTGGCACAATCATATTAAATTGACACGGGTATTTGTAATTACAAAAAAAAGAAATATTTATAGATGAAGAAAAAGGAAAACTATGGCAATGTATACAAATATGCAGACAATTATTGGAATAGATAGAAAATCAAGCAGTTGGACTGGCTTCTTCTAATAAATTTGCTTGTTCAACTGCCATTTCGACAGGTTCAAAATGACCAGATTCTTGAATAATTAGTGGATTTGAATTTTCAACATTTAATACTTTTTTTCCTTGGAGAGGTTCCTCTTCATCACTTGAAGATGGTGAAGATAATGGTGGAGTTGAAAGTAATGTTGCTGATGAAATTATTTCAGGACTTAATGTTGCTTTTATTTCAGTAGATGTTTTATTATTTGACGGTAATTGATTTATAAATTCATATTGATCATCATCTGTATTTGTTGTTGTTGACTGACTTGAACGACAAGAAGATTGACTAATTATATCATTAGGGATTTTTGTTTGATTCATCATGATTAAAGTACTGCATCGGACTCTAATGGAGTCGGAGTCGGACCTGTAGGAACGAATATTTTTGGAGTCAAAAAGTTTGACTCCACATAGCTCTAATTATAATCGTTTAAGTTTAACGGTCATTTAGATTGACCAGGAACAAATCGAATTCACGTTTTTGAAAACATTTAAACCATGAATGCGTACAGCTTCTATATACTGACCACTGACGTCACATATATTTAGCACAGACTAACTAGAGTCCTTCAGGTTGATCTCGGATTCGGATCCGAAAATTTTGAACCCAGTAGGCTGTAACACTGACACACTGGTACCATTGTTCACTAAAGCATGGGAACACACCGCTACAAAAAGTGCATCTTTTCATAGAGTTCGTGTTTCCGTGTTGCAGCGAACATCGATATTAGCGTAATCAGTACCCAGTGAATCCTGCCTTGGTGCTTCATTGTTCAGTATTTGCACTAACTTTGCACATTCCTAATTTTAACCGTTCTCGAACATTTTTGATTTCTGTCAAACATATTCGTTAGTCATGTATCTTCTCATATTGCACGTTTGTTTGCACTAAAGTCTAAATCGCAGTACTAATGATGAGAGGAACCAATCTTTTTTGGTCCTGGTTTTGTGCTTAGTAGTACACGTACTAGTGAAAAATGCAATATGATTTTCTAGCAGTGTCAGTGAGCTCGAGATATCTTGCACTATCTACATGACCTCTAGTATTCTCTCTGTCTTGGAGATTCACTAATACTTCGTCTCTCCTGTACTTTTATATGTTCGACAACTCTATTGTTTACGAAGGATGGGTGTAGGTGTGAGCAGTAGGTCTGGTTGTCTGTGAGAACATTTTTCACACCCGCAGCCACACAACTACACGCACGTCCGTACCCAGGCTTCCCGATTAGGGGGGAAAAGGGGGCCGTTTCTTCACTAAAAATTGAAAACATATCCGACTTTCTGCCAAGTTTGAAAAATTTCATGATAAATTCTAGCAGAAACTCTATTTTTTAAGCATTGTTCGCCATTTTTCTGGCAGAAAATCGAACAAAAATACTTTCTGTAAACGGGTGTTGGTGTGGGTGTGGGTGTGGGTATGATTAAAGAGATTGCATACCCACACCCACACCCACATTTGGTATTGATGTTAACTGAATTGGGTTCGTAAAACTGTTCGATCCAGAATATTTCAAGTATGTAAAATCCTGTTTCAAGCCATATGTAAAGTTGGTTTCAATATTGTTGATGTATGCTGATAGGATGGGATCACTGTTTAATGTGAATGTTTTGTAAGGAAAATATTGTCTTCGAACTTTCAAATTGGTATTAACTGTTAAATAATTGTAAATATAATCAAATGTGCGATTGAATCCATGTGTGTAAATAGCACGAGTACCATTTGATTCATCAGCAAATTTTTGCATTTGTTGTAAATGATTCATCAAATCATCAATATGTATGGAACATACTAGCATACCATGACTACATACCATGATTATACTTGATTCAGATCTTCGGATAATAAGACCTAGTGTAGAGGCTGATAGTACTATGGTAGCCAATGTCATTAAAGTGAGAAATCCCAGAAAAACATATTTTCTTTGTTTTTGTTGAAACATTCCATCGTTTGTTATCAAAGATGTCGGATAGATCACCATGAATATTTGATACTTTAGTTGTCGAGAACATTCTACTAAAATCTATCAATAAAATCACTTTCTATTTTGAATTGTCATGGTAATTCGAATCCTATAGTAAACTCTATACAGAGAATACAATGCGAATTGTTGATAAACATAAAAAAACGTGATTAACTTTATGACTTGATGGTCCAATGGTATTAATATGAAAAGAAAACTACAAATTGACAAATTTCACAAAGATTTCTTTTCAGATACATTCAAGGAAGTTTTATCCCAGGTTCTATTATACCACATTTTCGGACAAAAGTCTTTCTCCTGCCCTTGTTTATAAGCTGTCATACTTCAACTAAAATTTACTGTCGATTAAAGATATGACATGAGAGGTGTATTGTACTATGGTATAGATTACAATGAAATAAAACTTTCATGTCATATCTTTACTAGGTAATAAATTTAATTCAAAGTATTATAGTGAAGAACTATGAGGAAGAGGAAAGGATTTTTTTTGGGAGTAAATTTTAACATATAGTCTTAGGAATGTATAAATCTCTTTTCACAAAAATTAAACGTTTCAGTGTCTATCGAAAGACATTAGCTATATTGTGAATCGTGAAGAACAGTTGTCGCTTGGTCTTCATACATCTTTGAGTGTTTATGTGTGTTTCCTTCCGATTGTTATTAGTCTACAGATTTCACTGATAAGTTGGAATTATAGTTTTGTCTTATCTTTAGGTAGTCAAAAAGGTTCGATGGAGTTGCTATTGTTTGTATTTCTTCTATTTTTGGTGCCGATACATCATTCAGCAAGAAACATTGGACAACCTATTGTCATTAACACATGGTCGTTTATCAATGCAACGCGAGATGCATTTATGCAAATGATGTTGTCTAATGGCACGTCTTTAGATGCCGTCGAAACAGGCTGCCGAACATGCGAAGAAAAACAGTGTGACGAAAGTGTTGGTTGGAGTGATCGTTCAAATGAAAATGGCGAAACGACATTGGATACTCTCATTACGGACGGACGGACGATGAGTATCGGTGCCGTAGTCGCGTAATTAGTAAAATTAATTACAAAGATGAATGAGAGTAAGGACATGAGGGAAACAACAATGTGGGTATAAGAGAGTTCTATTGTAAAGCCCAAGATAGAATTCTTGGAAAGTCAAGTATCGATTTGCCTTCTATTTCAGTTTACATTGAATCAAAAATGCTATTGGCGTTGCTTGTGCTGTCATGCGTTATTCTCTTCATTCGTTGCTCGTCGGCGACAGTGCGACACGATACGGTATCGAGATGGATTTCAAGGAAGGAGATTTGCATAGTAATACATCTATTGATGACTGGAATCAGTGGAAACAAGGCAATTGTCAACCAAACGATCGAAAAAACGTACAGCCAGATCCGATAACAAACTGCTGGCCATATACACCTTTCTCGTCAGCTGAAATAGGTGATTCTACTCGGTATCATCGATTATCTCGGGCGAACATGACACTATCGGTATGATAGCTTTGGATCCAAAAGATGATATGGCAGTAGATATATCAACAAATGGACTGAGTTTCAAGATTCCTGGCCGTGTAAGCGATTCAGCCGTGATAGGAAGTTGCGCCTATGATGATAATGAGGCGGATGGAGCATGTGCTACGGATAATGGTGACATTATGCACCGTTTCGTCCCATCATATCATGTCGTTCAACTCATGCGACAAGGTGAGTCGCCCAGTGATGCTTGTATGGATCCTATCCGACGAATTGCTAAGTATTATCCAGATTTTGATGGTGCTGTATTCACACTTAGTAAGGATGGACGACATGGAACTACCTGTGATAATTACGATTCTTTTCCTTATGCAATCATGCAACAAGACTGGACAGAATCGAAAGTGATTGAAATTCCATGTGTCAGACGATCGCGTGGACAAAAACAAGTGCCTTTTTTCTTTCTTTTTGTATTACTATACATAAAGTGGTAGAAAAAAAAGTTCGGTGACAAGATTGTCTCTCTTATGAATTTTGCTATGTCTTTGATAAGAATGACCACTGTTTGATGTTGTGAGAGTGCTTCTAGTGATTATTTCTACCAATATTTCAGGAATCTTTAGATTCAATGGAAAAATCTTCTCTGGATAGATGGTTATTATTATTGCAAAAGAAAAGGAAATCTTTCTTTGTCAAAAAACTATTTTCAAGTTCACTTCGTTCTCGTTTGGATTTCGGTTTATAGAAGCAAATTTTTCTCGGGACTTTTGAATAAATTGAGTTTTCTACAAATACTAACGATAGCAACTATCGTGGTCAATATGTTACAAACAGCTAAAATTGTAAAAAATAATCCTTCACGAATAATTTGCACCATTTGTACGGTAAATGTCAGAACAATCGATGTAGACAGTTGCTGGACAAAAGTATTTGCCGCAATAATACTAGCTGCATGTTCTTGATATTTCACTGTAAAGTATGAAATAACACCAGGACGAGATGCTGCCTGACCGAATCCAGCGAATATTTGTCCAAGTATAGGAACTGAAACATGTATAGCATTTTGAAAAGTCCATCCATAAATACTCAAGCCAATACTTATCAATATGGAAAATAATAATCCAGGGATCATACGTCCTTCGAGAACTTTAGAGTTTTGAAAATATTTGATTGTTACTAAATCAGATAATTTTCCGCCGATGACACTACCGATCAAAAAAGCTGAGGCGATGGGAATGAATAGTATACCGATTGTGTCTGGTTGGAAGAAATACGGTGCTTCACCCAATTCAGTAGGTACAAGCAGAAGACTACAATTCACTGCTATATAACTGCAAGCTAGCACAATAATATACGGAATAATTGTGGAATCGATAAGATATAATAATGGTAAACATGGATTTGTTAATGTTGGTTTAGAAACTTGATCTAGTTCCAGCAAGATTATTTTTCGTTGAATCTGATATTTACATATCACTTTATAATGCTGAGTTTCAGGTACAATGAGCACATAGCTTATGAATAAAACAAATGCAATCATTGTAACCAAAGTAAATGTAGATCTCCATCCATGATACTGACATATCTCTCCACCAAGAGTGGGTCCCAAAAGACCAGCAGCAAAATAAAATGCGTAAAAAACTCCATATGGAGTTCCACGACTGTTCGATTGGTATATATCAGCTATTGTTCCTTGTCCTATAACTACCGATACGGAGATAAAACATCCTTGTAATGTACGAAAGAATAACATTATGTAGATATTCGGGGAGAAGTAACATCCAATTGAAGACAGAATAAATGCAGCAAGGCCAAATATTGCTATCGGTTTACGTCCATAATAATCTGCGAATACACCCCAAATAAGACTGGAAATACTCATTGCAAACAAATATATACTAATTGTTAATAAACCTAATGTTTTTGTAGTTTTTAGATCTTTAACTATTTCTAATAATGCTGGAAGATAAACAACTTCGTCAAATGAAGCTAAAAAGCCGAAGCAACATATCAGAAATAGTATGATATTTTTTTTGTATTTATCATGTGTATCATAAATACTTAATGGTGTTGTTGTAATGGCTATACCTTGTTCTTGATCAGATATAGACTTCATTTCGCTGGAATTATCTATAGCAGTAATAATTTTTTTTTTCAAAACACTCGTATCGTGACAAGGAAAATAAAAGAAAAGGGAACCGACATTGACACAATGATCTTCACAAAAAAGTCGAATATTAAATGTTGTTTTACTTCTATCATGTATCGTGTCATGACAACATATTCTGCCAGAAATGAATTTTTACAGCAGATAAAAATGAAAACAAAAGAAGAGGGATGTCTGGATGAAAAACTTAGAATGATGTAGGATCTTGAGCCTGAAAATTTTTAAGCACTATTCTTCAATACAGTTCATTTTATTAAAGATTTAGATTTAAAATATACGTCCAATATCGATGTAAATGACTAATTCAATATTATAAAGTCTGATATGTAAAAAATAACAATATGAATCCATTTAATTAACCAGGATTACGCTCTCCTAATTTTTTTTGTAGAATACTGTGTGGGCCTATTTTACAAAAAAAACCGGTATACTACTTACTTATCTGCTTCAAGGGCAGTTTGTAATATGAGAATGATCATGTTTTTTCTCTTACATGATTTTTTCGTTAGTTTAAGGCGTATACACATGCCTATTTCTCATCACTATCTCATTTATTGAAAGAGTAACGATACGAACAAAAAGAAAAGCATTACAAATCAAGAGTCTATAGTCCAACCAAATGTTCTAAGCCTACCTAATGCCTTTCTATTTTACTGATATCGTTTTTAATAAAGAATTAGTGCTCAACATGTATTTCGATATTGAAAGCAGCAACCGTTCTGGATCAGCTATTAAGGCGAACGGATAGATGGGTCAGAACATAGGCATCACCGTTCCCGATCATCTGGAAGAACTCATGCTCCAGGTTGAGAAGAACGGTTAGAAACGCTCATTCTTATTCATCTGTAGAGTGTATCAATCGATTTTTGACTTGGGATCCGAGAAATAATGAAAGAAAAAGCACATTTTATCGCAGCTATTTGATTTCACGCGAAACTGTATCGTAGATTTGATACATAATAAAGAACGTAATACGATAGAAGGAAGTTGAATGCAAAAAGAGAAGTTATTTTTGAACTAATTCAAGTAATTATCTATTGTCGATAAGACTTATGCATCATCTTCCAATCGTTTTAGAATAGTATCGTAAAACTCATGGGAATACGATTCTCGTTCAGCAGCGTACTTCTGAGCCTGTGCCACACTCTATAACTAAAACATAGGATCTGTTGGTTTTGTCGATGGCATGATATTCAATGGTTCTGATTGCTGACAGATATGCTGGAAAAGATGGTTTCTCTGAGGAAAACGGATCAACGCTTCTCTTTTATGTTACAATTAACCTCAATTAAATAACACTCCCACTTTTTTCTATTGATTGGTGGAGATATGATAGATCACGTTCCTTTTCTTCGATCAGATTCATTTTATGTTCCAGACAAAGTTCTCGACGGGATGCCCTAGGGAACTATTTGGTGATGAGCTCAGAAAGACTATAATGGCCAATTTTTCACCACCTAGACAGTTCAATCAACACGATGAGTTTATAAGAAAATATTCCAAGCAATACTTACGACGATCGTTTCATCCTTGCTTAAGGGATCCGTCAGGTAAGACTGGAATTTTTGAATTGACTGCATGGAATTTATCGTGTAGTTTGCATGAAAGTATTTTAATCTAGAGTGGAAGGTTTTATTATACAATGAAAGAAGGAAAATAATGGGTTATGCGAAAAAATCAGTTGAGAAAGAAAAAAGTGGAAAATTTCAAATGGAAGTCTTTTTTGTTTTTTTTTGAACAAGGGTACTATAACAATTTGAGTATCAGTTGTATAGATAATGAGGATTTGTTTTGCTTTTATTTCCTTGACTGAAGGAAGGATGATACAGAAAAACGAAAAAAGCGGGTGTGAGTATGGGTAGGTGTGGATGTGGGCGCCGATGTACTATTACTTTCTCTTAGATCCACACCCACACCCTGAATCTGACTATTTTGAGGAAACAAACAGCATGGATATATAGAATGATATGTGAAAAGTTATTCAAACAATATCCATTCGCCTTTTATTTTGCGATGAGCACACAATGTATTTTTATGTTATTGCACAACTTAATGCTAATATTTCAAATAGTAATGATGAAATAACATATTCCTTATCAACATACTTATTAAAATATATTCATATGTTATTTCACAATTATATGTTAATATTTCAACACTATAGTAGTGTTTTTTCGTTTAATATATGCTTGAAAATTTTTTCTCGGCGTTGTTTTGCGTATTTAAGAAAATCATTTAAATCTATGGATTGGTTAAATAAATATGAAAGTGCTACTGAATTATATAACGATACAATACATTATTGGTCAACCCAGAAATATCCACCTGGAAAATGGATTTTAACATCATTTGATGAAGAATCAATTATAGTCTATCAAGCATACAATCAAGATATAGCACAATTTGCCTGTGAAAATGGTTGTTTTACAGGATGCCCTGATTATAATCAGAATCGTATGACATGTATGATATGAAATCTAATAAGAGGGTGTGGGTGTGGATGTGTGCATGAGTGTCACAGTCGTTAATACACTCACAGCCACAGCCACAGTCATAGCCACACCCACACAGCCACAGCCACAGCCACAGCCACATACCCACACCCACATACCCACACCCACACGCACATTCCACACCCACACCCTTTTGTCCTGTAATGTTGAATTAGTCGTTATTCGAATATTACAGTTTTTATTCTCTCGTTTCCATATTTGGTACTGAGAGAAGCAAGTGCACCGGGACTCCTCGTGGGCATGAGATGAAATAGAAAAAATGGTCTCATGGAACGTCATATTCGTGAAATACTTTTTGAAAAAATGAAACTCAATGGTACATTTATCGGTTTAAATAATTATACAAAATATTCCAACGGTGGAAAAAATCTGAAAGTAGTGGTAGAAGTACTTTATTTTCGTATAGAAAGCTTGAGTAAACTTTCTCTTTATATGTAACCATAACAAAAACAATGCTCTATTTTTCTGTGATATTTGATCCCTCTTTAACTAATATCATAAAAATAAAATTTCGATAACGGCTATTGGTTAGGATTGTGACCATAAAATTAGATCATATTGTCTTCGATGTGTATTCTCTATTTGCTTTTGTTTTTGTGGATGTTGGTATGCTCTTCTCTGACACCCACGCCACACATACTGCTACCATGCATAACTATTTACAGAATAGAACAAACTTTTATTTTCACTAACTCTATTTCGATAGACAAGAACGCAATCTATACGACGAAATAGTTACATCTTTCCTTATAAGAAATGTTTATATAAGTGGTTGTTTGTCTCATGTGACCAATAGGATGAAATGAGACGTAAATATTTTAATAAATGTCTCATGAGATGGGACGGGACAGAAATTGCGGAAAATTATCCCATCCCATGGGACATTTATCAAAATATTTACGTTCTGTCTTGTCCCGTGGGATGAGATGGGAACTTCTCATATTGTCTCATGAGATGGGAATTGCTCATCCTCTGTGAAGCTCTGACATGTATAAATATCATTCGCACGCCATAGACACAGATACACACAGTCGCACATATTTATATCAAAATTATTGTAACACTGTTAACAGAGGTATGTTTGAGTTGTATTTCTTTCTTGTGTCCGTTATAATCGACATTCATCATATTAGAATAAATGAAAAAAAACGATAAAGAACATTAGATAATTTCGATACTTCAATATCAATATCTATCAGTCCCTTTTATCCTAACTAAAAATTTACCAGATCCAAACCGTTTGGGAGTTGGGTTTCGGTTTCGGTTTGCAACCTAAACTCAATAAACCATTTAAGTTTGGATATAACTGCGTCTCTCTCACGCCGCTTCTGTATATTCAAAATATTGCTTTTATGTACATATTAGCAAAAACCGTATTTCTATAGTTTACATTGTCAAGTGCTAAAGTCAAATTATTTGATACATATAAGTACTCGCCTAGTACCACATCTTCTTCTCGTATTCACTTTTTCGAGATGTTTTTCTAGGCTTTTGTTGTAAACCGTGATAGTTGCTTGGATGTCAAATTGATGATGTTTATATTAAGATGTCTCCTTAAAGCTATCTTGCGTGTGGGTGTGGGTGGTGTGTGCGTTAAAGCAGAACACCTACACGCACACCCGCACCCACACCCACACCCGCACCCACACACACCCACACCCACACCCACACCCACACCGACGCCCACACCGACACCCACACCCACACCCACACCCACACCCACACCCCACACCCACACTCACTCTTTTAAAAACATTGTATATTTCCAGGTATCAATAAGGAAAAATGTTGAAGAAACAATTACTCTTATTTTTGACCATTTGGACGACAATGATTCCTGGACAATCAGATGCAGTATGTTGTCAACAGCGAACAAGAAAAGTCTGGCTAGTTGAGATTCCTTGGGGTTGTATGGGTTGTGGTCCCTGTGACATAGGATGCTGCAATTGTGAGATTGGTTGCTGCCCTGATAGACGAAAGCGTTCTGATACATCTATTGAGAATGATTGGTCGGCAAACTCCATCCGATTTTTTGTTGCGGCTGATCACAACCACGATAGATTGATTGATTTCGATGAGTTCGCCAAGTATCTGATTAACCATGGATCTGAAACTCCACATTTGACATTCGAAGTTCATTTCAACAAGACAGATCTCAACAACGATGGATTTATTCAACTAGATGAATTTACCAAACAAATCAAACTAGTCTAATCACTTATCGACGTACTATTCTAAAGATTTGCATGATCATCATCTTCGATACTCTAAAACTCCTTATGTTTCTAAAAACATTTTCTGTAACATGTCTGTTGTTCCCTTGAAAACATGCTGGAAAAGAATTATGATTCTCGTGTGTAATTAAAATTAAAAATTTGATTTCAATTATGCGGACAAAGACAACACATAAGAATGAATGAGAATTCTTAATCAAGATCGGTGCTAGTTTTATGGAAGTATATCAATGCTTTTAGCAAAGAGCTCGCTATCATCTAATTTTGAAACAGACGGAAGATCAATCCTGTTTGCATTTCAAATTTCTTATCCATACTTTTGATTTCAAACAATGTTTTCAATCTATTTTGATTGTTGTAAGAAATATCATATTACCACAGAATTTATGAGCACGTGAAGAAACTCGATTTAATGATTGCAATTAAAATATTCTATTTGTGTTTCATCAATCGTTTCGTCTTGTAAAATACGAATATCGCCAAATGTAAAAAATACGAAATTATAGCTGCAGAATAGATCTTAAAAAGACAATAAATGAAATTTTCTTTGATTCGATGCTTAGTATATAATTCGTTTAATCTGATTAATTACGAGATGGGCGAAGAGAGAGACATGAAGATTTCAAATAGAATTTCAACTTAAAGAAAAATAATATATAAATATCCAAGTTAAGCGAAAGATCATAGAAGCTGATAAAATCTTAGACATATAAAGGAAATGAAAAGAAGCAGGGTATCTTTATAGTATGTCTTATTTTTTTTAATAATCGTTAGAAAATGGTGGTCATTTTGATTGGAAGCCAGCATGGCATTGAAACGACTGTTTTCTTTTGGGTGAATTGCGCTACAATATACCATTTGCCTCAAAAAATCGAAAAAAAAGTGAATATAAAGACCATTTGAGCGGGTGTGGGTGTGGGTGGGTGTGGCTGTGGCTGTGGCTGTGTGGTTGTGGGTGTGGATGTGGGTGTGGGTGGGGGTGGGGGTGGAGGTGTGGATGTGGGTGGAATAAATACGACACCCACACCCACACCCACACCCACCCCCACACCCCCACACCCACCCCCCCCCCCCCCCCCCCCCCCCCCCCCCCCCCCCCCCCCCCACACACACATTCACCCTTGCGGAAAAAAGTATTTCTTAATAAGACTTCACCTTCGATTCGGTATCGTCTATAGAATCAATGAAAATTTTATTCATGTGCATAAATTGTGTATTTATTCAATTCTTTTTTTGCGCGCTCTTTATACACTTTAAGTAACTAATGAGTCGAAAATTTTTGGACAAAAGATTTGTCCATTGTTGACTGGCTCGAAATTATCCCCGATGAGTTAAAATCGGTGCGTTCGAGGATGTGGATGTGGGTGTGGGTGTTAGTAAACAATAAACAATTACACCCACACCTACCTTTAAGTAAACCGAATTGAAATAAGTCATAAAATCTGACATCAAAAAGGTTGAATTTTCATTTAAAAACATAAGTTGAAAATTGTATTTTCTTCTGTTTTCGAGTAAAGTCTCTTGTGTATGATGTAGTATTTTTTGTCATATCAGTTCTTTATATGAACTTCCAATGATTTTCATTCAATAATGTGAACAATGTTACTTTTCGTATCAACGAATTCATCGATATTTCATTCAAATAATGATAATTATCAGTGTCAAATAAGGCTGTGATGTGTTCAAAATGAAAACAGCATTATTGATTCTTAGATTCTTTTTTATCTTAGATATTAGTAGGATCAACAGAATATTTTTATTTTGCATAAAATTTACTAGTTTCACTCTCTTATATCATTTCTTAATGGGAATATAGCAAAAACTATGGGTTATAGATGATTTATTGAACATTGAATAATTATAATCTTCTTTCATTTATTGATCTCATAAGAATTTCTTATATAAAAAATAAATATATCAACTTCTTTTGTAAAAATTCTTCCACTTTTTTAACAATGATTCACGTATGTATATCAGAGGATGAACATGGCATTAACAGTGGTAAATAGACACCAACAACAACACTACGTGCTTTGAATGCAACTTGTCGGCCTATTTTTGTATCATATAAATCGGTAAAAGGTACTCTACTTTCTGAAACATTCAGAAAATCATAGAGTGGATTAACAAGAGCTTGAAAATCTTCTTTTGTTTCAGCAAGACAAGTAGTCCATACGGTCCAATCGACTTTTGCGTAAACTACTCGATTATCTAATGGTAGACCAAATAAATTTTGATGTTTTACATAATACTTAATCTCTTTTTGCGCCACACTAGCTGGAGATAGATTCAAGCCAAAAAATCGTTCCCATACAAGATTGTATTTTTGACTCCAACTATCTTTTCTATCAAATGCAAGTCAATAGTGATCACCATCGTCGGCTAATTTCAGCCATTCGGATGCCATTGTCTGTGCAATTTTATTAAAAATTTGTGCTTGTATTTTATTTGCTTTCAATTCACAAAGTTGCGCAAAAGCTGAGACTGCTAGAATGGCTTTTAGGGAGAGATTAGCATTATGCGCAATATGTCCAGTGAAGGCATCCGTGCAATGTTGATTTTTTGGATTTAAACCAAAATCTAATAGATAGTTTACTCATTTCAGTAGCGTCGTAAAATATTGATCAGCTAAATCTGTTTTATTTTCTATTTTACAAATGGCAACAGTGAGAATAATCATGTTGCCATATTCTTCAACAGGCATTTGATTTTCTTCGGAATCTTCCGCTCCTCCGTATACTTGTCCATTTTCTTGTGGATAAGCTCCAAGATCATGAGGAGCAAAAGGAAGTTTCCAATGTGTACTTTCAGTATATATAAAAACAGGTGCAAGTTGAGCTTTGAGCAGATCTGGATTAAAATAAAGAAAAAATGGAGCACCTGGATAAGTTACATCGACTGTTCCCATACATCCGTTGCTACTGTTCTCTTTATTGAACCTGAGTAATGTACCATCAACATCTTGTACAAAAAAATGAGCCGATAAACATTGACGAAAAGCTAGTTCAGCTACTTTTGAATATTTGGCTCCACCACGATCAGTCACTTCTTTGCGAAGTTTTTCATTGGATTCGTAGCATTTCTTCCGCACTAAAACATACTCCATCTCTGCTTTTATTAAAAGTTCATCTATTTAAATTTCGCTGCGCTTCCATCCAGTAAGGTTTTAATTTCCGATGTAAATACTCGACCGAATACAGTTCATCATAGGCAAGCAATATGTGACGAGAAACTGGATGACTATCAACTTTGTCGAAGGATAAAATTGTTGACAGACCAGACCAATCTTCATTGACAGCTCGTGGAAACTTCATATCGTTAGAATTTGGTAATTTACCACAATGAGAAAACGTAAGTCAACTCAATCCGGTTGAACCTATGAAAGTTTGATTGTCTTGCACCAGGTATTGCTAAATATTGAATTCGCCAATCGATTCGAACATTATCACCTTTTCTCGCAAGTATGGCCTGTTCATCAGACTGAAATGAGAGTACTTCCATGTCTTTGATATGTTGTTGTGTTGCAATGACTTTTTGATCAGTTTTATTGACTACTAACTCTGCTGTATTGACGAAATAAGTTTCTACAGAATGTTCTTGTTCATCAGTAGCTTGAATTGTGAATGTTACGTAGGTAACAGATCGAGTTAGAAGATCAAGATCTTTAGGCAGAAGTGAAGAAAGAAATTCTACATTCAAAATCATGCCATATCCTTCAAAAACAAATACGTTTATTGTGGCTGCTACTGTGACACATTTTTGTGTGAAGGCTGGATTGCAGTCGGCTCTATGCCCATAAAACGCAACGTAAGTCCACCGATTCGTATCAAACCACACATGGCTTGGACATGCCCCGTCCAATGAGTGCTCCATGTGTCAGTCAAGTGATTGACCGTACGCCAAATACTAAAGTAAGGCGTGTGAGTGACTAAAGGAAGAGCAGGTGGTCGAAAATGTTCGACCGACATGTTACGAAATGTATTGTAATTTAGAAGGATACAGTAAATACTGGAATAATAATTCTTTTTTGTTGGTTTATGACATAAACTTCGTATGAATATATGTCGGTTAGTTGTTTTTGCGTTCTGTTGACTTGGTTGCTAAAAATGTTGGAAAAAAATAAGAAGAATCAGATGATGTTGGTTTTGTTTTTCAGTATTCTTTTCAATTATTGGTCGACAAGCATGCTTTATAGGTAGTGTCAGATGGCGCACCGTTACGTATCATGCGAGAAACATATATAGGCAATGCTCTTATCTATGATGATGTGGGTGTCGATGTCGGTCATCTCTACTCATTTACACCCACATATTTCCTTTGTACCAGGATCTGTAATAGGATCTAATTTGTAGATAGTCACTATTTTCTGTTCAATCTCTGACCTTCTACAGTTTTTTATTATTTGTCTTTTCCTCAAGTAATTTATATTTTATCTTGATCATCAGGACTGCCTAGGTCATCATTTTAAATGTTTCTATTTCATTCATACTTATAAAGAAAAACGGTACCGAAAAATGTGTGGTTCTCTGCAGTTATTGATATTTCCGTGTAATTCATATCTAAGTAAAGATTTTATTAAAATTGAAACATGATTCTTTTTAACTAGCTTTCAAAGAGAAAAACGTTTTTTTTTTTGAAACACAAAACTTAGACAGTGTGCTTGTGGACCGAGCAGATTAATGATATGAGTGCCGATTGTGAGGATGTGTTGACTTTCTCAAGATCCATACACTCGTTCGCATCTCTAATCAGACTCACACATACACCTAAATATGTTCGGTGATAGTTCAAGTGCTGTTGCGCTCAAAGGTTTTCTGAATAAATCTTTATGCCCACTGCGAAAATATCATTATTCAAGCCGTCCCTAATCTGCTCTCAACCAGAAAAAGAAATCTTCTAAGAAAAATCGAGGTCCTTTCTCAGCAGATCAAAACTTGTATGACTTCACATTCAAAGATGATTTGAAGGTATAGATTTAGTTGTTTATTTCTATTCAACTAAACGAGACATCCTAATGACTCATGTTATTATATTTACGCAGAATTTTTTTAAACACGTCATGTATTTCTCTTATTTATTGCTGTATTTTGTAATAGTTGCGATTCATTACGCAATTCTGATGAATCATATAAATAGGGAGAAAATATTGAGTTGCATCGTAGTTTGTAAAAGAAAGCAACATAAAAGTAAGTAAAGTATCAATCTTTGCAATTTACTTATTTTAGCTTTACACCGAGTTTTTTAATTGTTATTTCAGGACAGCGATTGGAAAACTATTGCTTTTTTTCCGTTAGATAGTTTCAGACAATGAAGGCGAGTTATGAATGTCAATCTCGTTTACAGCTTCAATTCCAAAGAGAGAAAAGTTAAACAATGTAATAAATAAACGACTTTCGACATTACACCCTAGATCAGAATAATTTCACAAGAATAGAATTGATTGATTTCTATAAAATTTTGGATATAGGAAAGATGCACACAGATCAAGATAACATCGTTCAAAATAACAGGAGCGATGTCAATCGCACCGACACCTTTCTCAAATAGAGCACACTCAGAACTATTCCGTAGTGTACAGAAAAACTGAAGATGTCTATAGATGTTGACCTTACCCTAGGAATATGATTAAATGTGTATTTTTCCATATTATAGATTGAATAGAAACCACAACGAAAAAAAAAACAATGAGCACTGAAACAATGGCTTCGGTTAATATTTGTTGTATTCCGGATAGTCCATATGCAGTTATTGGTGTAACAAATACAAAGAGAGCTAGAATTGAAATCGAAACAAAGAAAATCGAAGACACTGTTGATACAATCAGACGAAATCCAATCAATATGGTTTTGGTACTTGATCGTAGTGGTTCAATGTCATCGAACAATAAATTGGAATTTGCGAAGAAAGCTGTTATTGCTGTACTCAATTTATTGCATGATGATGATGTTGTACACCTTGTTGCTTATGATACAAATGTTTGGACGGTGTTTGAAAATTCACCGGCATCAGGTCGTGAAGTTCTTTATTCAGTTGTTGAAGGAATAACTACTGGTGGTGAAACTTTCTTATCTGGTGGTATCGAAACAGGTGCCAATCTTCTTGAAAAATATCCACATCCCGGATTTTCCAAGCGTATGTTTGTTTTATCCGATGGATTAGCGAATGTTGGATTAAAAACCAAAGAAGAAATCACAAAGGCTGTTGCAAAATATAGCAAAAAAGGAATTATAATTGATTCGTTCGGTGTTGGAGAAGATTTTGATGCCGCCATAATGAAAGGCATTGCTCAAGCTGGATGCGGTCAGTTCTTTTTTCTTGAATCGGCCGAAGTTATCATTGACTTGATGACAAAAGCACTGCAGAGTGTTTTTGATGTTTGTGGAGCACAAGCACAACTAATGATTCGTGGTCGTAATAACGCTATTGTGACAAAAATATGGGGCCATGAAAATATAGCATGTGGCGCAAATCTTGGTGATCTTCATGTAGACAATCTTCGAGTTATTCTTTGTGATTTTACAGTTGCTGGAACAGTGACCGAAGGGACAGAAATTGAAGTTCTCAATTATCAATTGAAATATAATTTGCCTGGCCATGACGATGATGAACCATTGGTTCTTACTGGACAATTATCGATAACATTCGTCAATGATGAATCACTTATTCAATCGATTGATCCAAAAGTCAAAACCTTACATGCAATTCAAGTTTCAGGAGAAATGGATGATAGAATCGCTGAACTCATAAAAAGTCATCGAAGGGATGAAGCCATTGCATTAATTACTGAACAAATAATACTGCTTAAGGAAGTAGAACATTTAGATGACGAAAGAGGTATGGTTGCAATGTTAATTCGATTGGCAGAAAATATGGAAAAAAGATTAAAAGAACAAAAAGTGAGTGCCAAAGCGGCTGCTCAAAAATATGGTCATCATGGTCATTTGAAGAAATGCTATGATCACAAATATGCAGACTATTATGATGAAGATTAATTATATATAATATATTACCTTTACTCTTTCGTTAATTCTATGACTATAATCCATCATTATCCTTTACTTCCAATACTAATTTTATAGAGTACCATCGAATAATTCTTTTGCAAAAGCGAAAATATCGTTGTTCTTCTTTTTTTTGTGAATAAATTGCTTTTTGACTCAAGAGTAATTAATCAAATATGCTTAATCAAGCAGTACAGACAATCATTCTTTTTAGTATTTGATTCAATGTATTTCTTAGTCATCGCAACTACCTCAAACTAGTTTTTTGATAGAAAAATTTAAAATTTCAACATAAAACATCAATTTATTCTCTACTGCTTGAAATCTAAATTGAAGAGCATATATGTTGTATTTCAAAAGAAAAAGTCGTTAAGAAATCGAAAACAAAGAAGATCGCTATAGTAATAACAACATCTATCAGAGTTTGTCATCAAAAGCCTTGAAGACAAATTTGAACGAACTGAAACATTGGAAGTTTGCTACCATTGCATCATTTTGAAAAACGCTATGAAGAGTAAGCATTACTTTCAGTTTTTTTTGTATTAGTCGACGTTAAGTTATATTAGTTGTTATTTCAATTTCATTGGTACACTATGCAAATGCAAGAACCATCCTAAATCAATCGAAGAGATATTCATGTAAGGAAAATTCCATAACTAGAAAAGTCACTATGTTCTAGTTTACTTCCTGAGAAATTGAAGCAACATAATGCTTGGATCATTCTAAAGCAGAGACCTACATCAGAGCCTTTTGGAAATCCGAGTCAACTTTGACTTCGAATTTCTTTCATAAACGTAAGTCTCGACAAGATATTAATCACATCTTCAAAATAAATTAGTTTGTAGAGAAAATATTGAAAACAAACCTACAACTCAAAAACTTTTTAATGCTGAAAATAAATTTTTGACAACGAATTTACTTGACTTTGATGTGGGTTTTAACCATTGATATTTTATGATTTATCTTACACTCTGTGTTTCGCTGTTATTGTGTTTATCGTATTTTCGAAATATATTTATGTACACGAGTAGCAGATAAGGCATGATGGCAATGCAGTGTAATACAAGGGTGTGGGTGTGAAAAATGAATACACACAGGGGTGGGTGTGGGTGTAGGTGTCTTTTCTGCTATCAACATCCACACCCACACCCTAGAGAATTTCAAGCTCTATCAGAATATATAATTACTTTTTTCAAAAGATAACTCTATAGTGATAAAAAATTTTAAAAACTAATTTTGACGACAATGACAAAACCAAATCTGTGGGACTCTAGACATGAGAGTACCTTCATTGCACTCAATGTTTTTGGTAATATATATCTTCAAACGAAAATGCAAATATACAGACTGATATAAAATTTCACGAGCTTTCAGAATATGTCCTTACTTTTCATAAAATATGTTTATTTGATAACAATATCCTCAAAATACAGAGGATTGTTTATTTTTTCCAGGGGTATATATAATCGATTTTTATTTGAAATGTAAATCTTATGTTTTAGATGCTTGAACTTGTACGACCAATAATAAAACTTTTAAAAATTGAACATACAGCATTAGAAAATTTTGAAGCATTAATGGCTTTAAATAATTTAGCTAGTATTGGCGCAAGTGTTCGAAAACGTATTTTAAAAGAAGATGGATTTTCAAATATAAAACAATATTTGTTTGAAGAACATCCAATGTTAAGACGAGCAGCTGTTGAACGTATGTGTAATTTAGTTGTTCAAGAAGAAGTAAATCAATTAATAATTAATAAGTTTCATTTGATAATTATTTTATTATTATTAGGTTATGAAATATTTTACAACTGAAAATGATCGTATTAAATGATTAGTTTTATTATGTGGTGAAGAAGATGAATTATTAATAAAAGCAGCTTTAGGAACATTAGCTGTTTTATCATCATTACAAGTTGATCTTGAATATATAAAAGATTTAAATTTAGAAGATGAAGAACGTAAACGTTTAAATGATTTAATTCAAACTAATCGAATTATATGTGAAAAAATACTTGACGTTTGTATTTGGTTTTCTTTTTTAAATTTTTTATTTTGTTTTTCTTCAGGTTAAATCATTTACTGAAATTTTTAAACAATTATGTGCTTGTAACAATCCAGATTTACAATTTCGAACATTTTATATAATTCGCAATATAGTTAAAACAAATAAAGAACTCAATACGTACTGGTGAAACAGATTTAATTGATATTTTATTTGCTATTAAAGAAATTAACGATGATCGTCTAGTCAATGAAAAAGTATGTCAAAGTCATCGATTACATCTAGAGACCTGCGAAACAAACTTTTTTTTTCGAATCTCATTTTATTTTCAAAATGTTTCGATCCCGAATCTCCCGTCGGTCGAAACAAATGTAGTTCGAAACTGTTCCATAGGACTTTTGTTATATCAAATTTTAATATTATCCAATAAGATGAAGTTAGGCATGCATCGGTATCAGTATTACTGATACTTTTGTCTGATATTTATTAAAATGCCACCTATCAATTTTTGAATAGCTTTCAATAGTTTATAGAAGAAGTTCTTTATAGATGTCATCTGTTTCATTGTCCATTTCTACAACTTTTCGTCAAAACCTAGACTCAAATTATACCAACGAGAACCGTATTTCCCAAGGGGGAAATAACTGACTTTTATGACTTTTATGACTTTAGAGTCATTTAGATCACTTAGATCATTTAGATCATTTAGATCGCGAAAGTCATTCAAAGTCATCAATAACTCAGAATATTTGAAAGAGGATGTTAGTCAATATTCATCTAGAATCTGTTCACATGTTAACATATCAATATACGCTTCGAGGATGGTACAAAAACAATGATTTTACCAAAATACGCATAGAATATAACTATCGCCCATTTCAAAAAAAAGGACGGGTGGGTATTTTTCGAATAACTTTTGATAGGAGCAAGATAGTGAGTTGCAGTTTTCACCATTAGAAAGAGAAGATCCAGGCGCACCAATAAATGCTAAAATCTGAGTGGTCAGCAATGGACCAATCGGATGCATTTTTGAGGGACATGTTGAGCACGATACTTCGGACCCATTTCGCAACTTGGATCAATTGTTAATTTACACTTCTGGTAGAAAAATTGTTCTCTTTCGATCTACGCATGATCCACCTTTCTAGCTTGTTCGGTTCAAGAGATAGAAGGGTTTTCCTGAAACGCCTGATTTCAGCCAATTAACCATGAATCATCCAGAAAACATTCTGGAATAGGGTAATTCACAAAGGGGAAACAACTGACTTTATGGCTTAAATAATTTAAATGACTTTATATGACTTAATGACTTTGCATGACTTAATGATTTTAAATGACTTTTTTTGACTTAAATGATCTGAAAGATCGAAAATTATTATTGTTTTTTATCATGTATCTTGCTTTACATCCCATTATTACTTGAGATTTTTACATGTTACATTGAGAAATAGCGAAAGCAGTCGTGAAGCCAAGATTCTTAGCATCTCATGCAAGGGGAAAGCAACTAAATTTAGGACTTCAATGATTTTTATGATTTTATGACTTGAGACCCCCTCCCTCAAAAATAGATCTCAGCCCAGGAATATCCAAATTGCATGAAACGTTCAGGATATGTTGGGACTGATGAACCATGGCTATAGTAAAATTTTCAGCCCTATATCATGACGTTTGACAGAGATATTCATCAAACAAGGGTCAAAAATAGCTCTATCGTAGCGCTAGCAGAACTCTATCATAGTAAAAGGTAAAGTTAAATATTTTTTTGTTTGAAAGAGCATGTCAGAATGCAGCCCCTTTCGTGGCCCTTTTTTTTTTAAATTCTTACTTTTTAAGCGAAAAAAAGGGATGACAAGTTCAATCACTCAAAAAAACCCTAAAAAAATGGCGTTGTTTTTCTAGAGGTGTTTTCTTATATGAAAATAAAAAGGCTTTTTCAAAAAAAGGACTACGAGGAGGGCTAGCCCTAGACACAAGCTTTCGAACAAAAAAAAAATTTGATTTCATCTTTTACTATGACGGAGTTCTGCTGGCGCTACGTTGTCGAACCGACGTTTTGAGAAAAACGAAAAATGATTTTCGGTTTTTTGTAAAAACGGCTTGTTTTTGGAATAGGAGGTGACGAAAATCTTTCAAATTTTTTGGACAAAAACAGGTGCCGAATAAAAATTTTTGTCGCATATGAAAGAGCTGATGACGGGCTATTTTTCCGTGAATTTATCTCAATTTCTATGATTCTGGCGAAAAGTGACTTTTTTGAGGTTTGGGAGGAGGGGTTAAATGATCTGAAAGGTTGAGAATCGCCATAGTCTATCTACTTATATTTCGAGAATTCGATTTCCACTATTTTCCTAACTTATAATATGCTAGAAGATATCCAAGAGAACACTCATCCCCGTTTTATGTTGGCTCATCGTTTTCAGCTTAATTGTTTAGCTGAACGACGCATAGACCAACTAGTCTACCGTTTGATTTGTTTCATAATATGTCTATCTTATCGCCGCCTCTCGCAATATGTCGTTCTTGATTAGAAAATAACGTGATCTTCAACAATCACATTTGATCTCAGGCTCTGCATCCACATGATATTTATGTGAACAATAATGAAAATACAATTTACAATTAAACAAACATTCAACTTTCTATCAAAAAGTAGATGAATAAATATTATTAGAGAATCTGGTGATTATAAACACATGGGAAAACTAGAAATGAGAAAAGCGACGACTATTTTCAAACTGAAAATATTGAGAAACGAGACTAACAGAGAAACATATTCAACTGTAAGATGCTATTCGACTTCATGTTCTGGTTATGAGGGGGACTCAGCGGAACGAAGAAAACCCTAGTCTAACTCGCGACCAGTAGCGAGTTTAGACAGGAGGACAACGAAGTAATCGTTCCTTCTGTTAGAATTTTTACCGTCAACAACAAACGAAAGACTAGTTTGTACTAGATCGAATAGGCCTTCAAATTCATTTTTACTCATCGCCTTCACCTCTCCCATAAACCTAAATTCATCATTTTTTGTGACCATATTGTGTGGGTCAACTGCTAGAAATCCTTTGATAAATTTCGTGCGTATCGGTAGATATATTCATCGGGAATGTTGGGTTGTGAATTTTACGTCTGCAATTTTGTTCTTACACAAGTCTGGTAGTTCATATAGCTCCCTGAAAGTATGAACTGCAACTTTTATGTTTTTTTGTTGTGATGTCGGATCTTCAAAACCTAATTATTTGTCAGCGACCTCGCACGCAAACCGAGTTTACATGAATACTCACTATCTTGATAAAGCAATATTGTTGTTAGCTAAAACTTTTAGAGTATTATCAAGTCTATGAAACGTATCTTAGATAAGAATTTCCGACCTCAATTTTTGAAATTCAATATTTCAACGAATACGCCAGAATCCCAGTAAAATAATCATAGCTCTTGATGTATAGATTACGGTCGCGAATCTTATTAGGACTTTCTTAGGCTCAATGAGTTCCCCTCTAGCTAAAATATAAGACCTAACAGCGTCCAGTATTTGGATTTGATTCCTTACATGTCAATTATATTCATGCCATTCAGTTTCTGTAGAATATACGAGTTTTTCACAGAGTTTCTTTGAATATACACAATTCTGAGAGGATGACAAGCATTTAGAGTGAATGAATGAATTAGAATCAGAAAAACAATAATGTCTGATTATTTTTCATACTAGTCGATTGTCATGATAACGATTTTTTAAGTTTCAAAAATATCATGCGTATTATAATGGACCAGATTGCGTTGCAATTTCGATTTCAAGCATTGAGGATCTTCGTGTTTATGAATGTCGATAACAGCTAGACCATGGAAAATTATTTTCCTGTTTCATTAACCTAACGGAAACTCGCCAGCCACAGCGAACATGAGCAGAATCCAAGAGGGAAGCAGTTGACTTTTATGACTTTAAAGTCATTTAGATCACGTAGATCATTTAGATCATTTAGATCATCTAAGTCATAAAGTCAGTTATTTCCCCCTTGGTATTTCCCATGAGATTTCCAGATTTCAGAACACTTCTCTTAAAGTATAAATCCACAGTAAGGACGAAAAACTCGAGCGATTATATAGGGAATACAACACTGTTCGGGCTACATTTTGGCGTAATTTGAGTCTAGGTTGCTATGAAAAGTTGTAGAAATGGACAACAAAACAAGAAAATATCCATGAAGAACTTCTTTGAACCTAATGAATGTTACGCAGATAGATAGACGTCTTGATAACTGCTCTATCTAATGGCGAAAACTCGACTTCGATAGCCATAAAAGATTGAAAGTTATTCAAAAAATAGTGGTTGGAGTTTTAATAAAAATCCGACAATAGTTCTTTAATCTAGGATAGTCTGGGCTACAAAATAATATATAAAAATAAATTATATCAGCTTCATAAGCTCAGCCATATCATTTTAGAAATAACTGACTCGAGTCATTGTTTTTATGGAGCATGGTTGAACCTAGATTAAATGTCACTAAAAGTAGATCAAAACATCCTAGCTGTGAAAATTTTTAGAGAACTCTTTAAATGAGTCGCTCAGCCCTGACTACTAGAGTTATTATGTAAATAATAACTTTTGGCAATAGGATTTTCGGAGAATTTTATGAAAAATCAAGTTGTTCAACACTATAATGCAATATTACATTTAAGTTACTCTTCTCTTTGTCCAATTTCTTTCACTGCAGATGTATAGTTTCAATTTATTGACCACGGGCTCAGTATAGATGGTGCACACCGCTTCCAAAAAAGGCATATTTGATAGAATTGGTCTTTCAATGTTGCAGTATACATGGAATTTACACCAACACTGCACATCTCGATCTTTTATCATTTTTACTTAACAGACAAAGGTCAATTTGATATACGACATTGATATATCCGAATGATATTCGATCGTTTTAATAATCGTAAATAAATAATAAAACTAACTTGGTCGATAATTTCTTTGTTGATTATATTCAATGAAACTCAGTATGAGATACTCAATAGATTTCATTCAAATGAATTGAACTAATCATTATTAATTTGAGTTGTGAATTGAATTTTTCAAGTCAGTTGTAAAGTGTAAAATCAGTCAGGTTCTATTACAAAAACTTTCGAATGTTCCAAAAAAAAAATCATAAGAATTTAATTTGATCCAAGTTTTTTTTTTTTTGTTTATTTTAGAATCGTAAAATAGCCTCGGATATTGTTGAACTCTGTTTAAAATATGGTCTTATTCAACGAAATAAAGATCATACAATCAAAGAAGAAGATGAAACTACTGTTACGAATTAAGAAATAAAACAAAATTTACAATTTCGTCTTTTTTTTGTTTTTATCTAAGATAGTGTTACTACATAATTCTTCTTTTTTTTCATATATATAATATGTCTTATGATAGATCATCAATAGAATACATTCCTATGTCTTCTTCAGAATAATATAAAATGTCAAATACTCATCCAAAATCTGAATCGATTGTACCATCGACATCTACTTTTGATCCAATTAATTTAGAATCTGAAATTCTTCAATTATGTCGTCAATTTCCTAATGGTGTTAGTGATAAAAGGCTTGAAAATTCATTTCGTAGTGTCACATTAGAACAACATGTTAATGCTATAAATCATCTATTCTATTATCATTAAATAAAATTGATTTATTAAAATCTTCAACAGAACCAAGTACGTATATTTATCGTATACGAGATCCAATGAATAAATCAAATTCATCAATATCAATTGGTAATGGAAAGCAGATCCAATGGAAAGAACAGTTTATCAAATTGTTGAAGAAAGTGGAAATTTAGGTATTTGGATGCGTGATATTAGATTAAAAATAAAATTATCTCCAACAATACTTAATAAAACACTTAAATCATTAGAAAGTACATGGTGATCCAAAAGTTCCCGGAACTTCGATATATCTACCTAGGGAAAGGACATTCCATCCATCTTTCTACGCCATATATTCGAGGTAGTCATTGTGATATTACATGGGAAATTTCATCGCTTTAACTCACTCTATCGATATTGTTTCGAAGTAAACAATATGTATTGAATTGACCTCATTGATTATTACCCTTGCTAAATTGTTGTAGCTGCTGATTATTAGTCTATCTTGAATATATCTCAACGACTAAGAGCCTGAAAGCCTAGTCTAAGGTGAATACGGTGGGCGATCCCTAACTTCATTCCTCTCACTTTTAAGTAAATAATGGCATTATTTTACATGTTGCTCAAAAAACTTATGATGAAAACTGGTCGGATTAGACCGATGATGATACATTTTTGTTCGATAACTTTTTTATTTGTCAATTCAAACATTTATCACTAATATGGATAGAATTACTAGCTCCTATAGAAACCACTAGATGCCAAATAATGGTTCGAATGTCATTAAATGGTTGACATATATTATTGTTTTTTGATATCCTTAACAATAAATGTCACTTGAAGGACTAGTTTCTCTTGTTGACCTAAGTTTCGATAATGATTTTCATCCAATATTACGATGTCACATCTATGTCTGATAACCGCTAATGGTATCACATAAAATCTTTTCACCACTTAGAAACTTCTTCAAATTTTTGAGGGCTCAAAAACCTATCGAAATTCAAGTAATAATCAAGAAGGTCAATTCAATACCTATTTGTAACGACAAACTGGATTGAATAGCTTTTCGCCATTCTCGGCAATGATGTTTATTCAGCTATTTTACATATCCAGAGTGTGTCTATTGCACATTCAACACACACTTATATATGATACGGAAACAATGGGAGAGAGACGACACAGAGAGAACAATAGAGAGAGAAAGAGGAAAGAGGAAAGAAGAAGAGCAGCGAGCCGTGACGCATATATCGGCACACCCTCCCACTCAGATGAGACGCGCTCCTGAGCGTCTTTACAATTTAGAAAAGAAAAACAGAAACGATAAAAAATAATTAGATGAAAGAAAGAATACATCAAAACAAGTTCATTGATTTAACTTCATTGTAGACAATACAGTCATACACGAACGACAATATCGACTTTCATACATAACTTCATATCAACACACGTCTTCACAGTATCATAGCATCGAGTCACGAACAGAGCAGTCAAGAAAAAGAGGAACAAGCTTTTTAAAGGAGTGATCATCACATTTCAAACTCATAAATTCGGCAACACCTTTCAAATATAAATAGAAGATCAGTCAACACGAACACGGCATACAAATAATGATCGTCACAGCTTCAATCATCACACAAAAAAAAATTTTGAGAGAGCACACAGAAATGAAACAATATAGAAATATAGAATTCATAACACGCATATGATCAGTCACACTTTTTCGCACATTTTCACATTCGTAGAACGCAATGTCGAACAACAACACATATCAATTTTTGAGAACGAGAAAAAAACACAAGTCATCGGTTACACAAGCTTAGTATAATTTTAACCATAAGTAGACATAAATATTCTAATTCATACAGGATAGAAACTCTTGTCTAGTGCATAAACGATACCTAAAACGGTTTCTTGTTTTGTCTTACTTACTAGATTATTACAAAAACGAACACATAGCTTATAGAAAAATATCGCATCATATTTCGATTATCTACATGATCGAACATAAAAGATTATCATTTAACCCATCTTCTATTTATGTTTCGCCGGAGAAGAAGAGAGAAAAAAAAATTCACACTTTCTAATCAGTATCATCACTATAATTACTTTCGTTTTAAATTCTTCACTGGCTTCAGGCCTTTTAAGGGTAACATCTTCATTTAATTTTATGTTTCTTCTAATATTTGATTGTTACGCATCGTTAGTTAGCAAGATGTTCAGCTGAATAACTGTTGGTGGTGATTGACAACACGACGTGAATATTGATGATGAATGAATATCAATTGTTTACAGCTGATACACAATCAATTTCATGTTCATCGATATCCATTTGTTCTGTTGCTGCTTCTTTTTTTTATTTTGTTTTGGCAGAGAAAATAAATTTGAATTACGTGA